CTTTTAGAGACAGGGTCGCTCAGGCACAAGTCAATGATTTCCAGGCTGGCCCCCTGAATGCTGGATCTCACTGGACCTCCCCCAACTCAATGCTCCTAAAAGGACTAGTTTGCTTCTCTCCCTGGCACATCTCTTCCAACTACACGACATGCCCTCTATGCACCTGGTCAGTTATGCCAGGGGGAGTTAGTACCTGTGCAAAATATAAAGATCAATCAACTTATAATTAACTGACTTTGAAGCTACTGTTGCTTCAACTACACTTTCCAACTCTAGGGCTCTGGCTTAATACTTGGGGGTCCTTTTCCCAGTGATACTTGAGAGGCTGTGCTGTAGCAGCACCATTTCTGTCTGACAACAAACAGTGCATCAAGTCACACACATTTTGATGCTTCTATTTGTTTAGGCATATGTTAGGCAGTGCCTTCCCCACCTACTTACCCTATTCTGAAACACAATCCCACACATCCTGTTTAGAATCAAAACACCTGTTCCTGGGACTTGACTTTATTAAACAAGTTGATTTTAACGCTCAAAAAATCACCACCTACAAAAGTGCATTCACGCCCAGCACCTACCATGCAGGGCATTGCCATTGACTTTTAAGATTTGCTTTCTGTGGTTAAACTTGAGAATAAAATTTATTCAGAAGTAATACATATCATGACGATCTCACTGACAGTGATGCCAATGGGAGTTTTGCCATTGACATTAAGAAGAATGGGTTCAATTAACCCCTTTATAAATACTATATTGAAAACTGTGCCTCCTAAAATAGTGCCTTTCCCTGAAGAGTACCAGTGAAAAGAAAAAAATAAAAACAAATTCCCTTAGCTGAATATGTTAAAAAATACAGTTCTGTTCCTTTACCCATGAGAACACAAATGCTGAGAATTAGAAACACTTACCTAAGTTCTGCTCTCAGCTACATGGATACAATTCCTATTAAGCAGAGAGCAGACTTTTGTCTGTTTTCATTTTAAAGGCTGATATCTGCTTGCCAGATATGTGCTTTCTCTACAGTCCTTATGCTTTTACTTATATAGTCATGATTTCCCATTACATAGCTCCGGTGTTTCTTTGATTAGTGGTATGGGGTTATTTTGCTTTAAATTCTACATTAGCTTTGTAACATCTCACTGCAATTTAGTGAGAAGGAATAAAAGGAGAGAGGAACAGAGATTTTATGGAAATTTTCTTTTTACTATATCAAATCAACAATTTTCCCAATTGCAGAACAGTAAAGTCAGTGTGTAATCCTGTAAAGTAGAGATGAAAAAAACCCTACAGTGGTAGGTGCTAAAGTCCGTTCTTTTGTCACGGAAAGAGTATTCCCTATGGTACCTTTCCTAGTGCTTGTGCTTCTTCAGGTTTCTATCAGTTCCGTTGGAAGACTATTCCAGACACACACAGGTCTCACATTTCCCAGCACTGTGCACCCAAAAAAGTTGGATTAAATTCAGTGAGGGGAACATCAGTGTTTTCCTGGGCACCTGGCTCCCACCATGGGTTTTCTTGCATGAGGAGTGTGTGCAGATGTCTGATTGTAAGCTCCTGAGGGCAGGGACTGTGTTTCTTTGGTAACTTTTGCAGTACATAGAACACAGTTGAAAAAAATAATGAGACATTGAAACTAAATGTAAAGCACCCAGAGGCCCCAGCCAAGATCACGGCCCCATTCTGCGCTATACAAACATAAAGTGAGCCCCGAGAAGCTTACATTCTTAACAGGTGAGACTGACAAAGGGTGGCAAAGAAAGCAGGGGTAATGAATTTATTTACCAGTGGTCACACAACCTGTCTGCAGCAGAGCCAAGAATAGATTACAGAGCTCCTGACACCCAGTCCCCTATCCACTAGATCACACTGCCATTCTAATTAACTTAGTTAGTGTACCCTATTTCCTCATTGGTCACATTTTTTGGTCTCAGAAGGAAAAATATTCATGAAGTCACAAAGCGCAGGCACATTAAGCAAGTCCCTCTGAGGGGCTGAATGCCTCTTACAAAGACATTGAGTGGAGTTCAGAGCACTTGGGGCCTTGCAATATTTGGCCATAGGAATAAATATGTATATTAGTATCTATCCTAATATTGATATTGAGATATCATTAGTAACCTGGAGTTGTAAATGGCCCAGGTTCATTCAGCAAATTCCATTTGCTTCTTCAGTTAAACTAGATAAAATAATATGAGGGCTTTATTTTGACCTGGGCACCAAATACTTGATGTGCCAATTCTAATTGACATCTGTTTTCCCCAATGATACCTTCCAGTGATGATGACCTATAGGAGCTCTTGCATTGGTTTCCCTTCTTTGTCCTTGTACACTACTTCGGTTTATTTTGGCCACTTTAAAATAACTACTGAAGTTTATCAATTCTTAATTCCCTTCTTAGGAGTTATTCTCTTCTAAATATAGTCTAGCCATAAAGGTGCCACTCTCAAGAGGAAATATACAAGCATATTAACAGCAGCAGTGCCCTCATCCTTTCACCCAAATTGCATAACAGTTTAGTGTGTGGAAATGGTTGATGATCCAATCACCACAAGAACACATTTCAAATTAGAATTTTAATAGGTAAGCATTAGATACAGGCTTATCATGTCATTATGCAGCTGGAAAAATGGAATATTTTGAAACCTTTGCTTTCTTGTTGCTGTAGCCTTTTGCAATGGGCTCTTTATTATTTAAATGTCTGGTGCTTACTAATTGCATTTGACAGGCAGGACTTTCAATTAGTGTTACCTAGTAGAGTGGCTTTCAATAGGGAGACAGGAATCAGTGCTCTGGGGACAATGTGACAAGTGGGTATGTTACCGATTATGCACTGTGGGTCTACAACTCTTGGGAACCCTACGTGCCATTTACTAGTACATTTTTGGCAGGCTGGTTTCATCTATCTAATCTATTTATGTAATCCACCTACTGTGTGCCCCCATCACACTGTATCTCAGTGCCTCATCAGTATTTAAAAATAGAAGTATTAGTCTGGAACCATCATGTATGTAGCACTATGATTTCTTTGCTATTTGCAGCTCTTTGATGTTGACGGTATCCACTGGATTTTAAATTACTGACATTCTTGTCCAAAAAGACATGGAACACAACGTAGTATAAACTTATACATCAGAGCTGCACAACATGGGGTATTCCTGGCTGGCTCCTGTTGCCAAACAGTGGATGCCCTGAAGTATAGAATTCGATTAGCCTTAGCCTGCAACATTTACAAATGTAACCACTGAAAATAGAATTAGCTGTACCCTGCCCAGCTATACAGCAGGGACACATGGAATATCCGTTAAGCTTGTGGGCTCAAAAGCATCCTGACAGAACTATAACTTTGGTGTTAATTCAAATTTTTGTTTCTCATGCAAATCTCATGATTTCAGGGCTTGATCTTTGTGGGGCACTCTCTGTTACACAAGTAGTACTGAATCAAGTCCAAGAGGTTCTCAGGGATATTAAAGGCCCGATTGTGACTCTGACTCCATCTCCATGCAAGGGAGTAGAGGAGTAAGGATCCCCTTTACATGGGCTACCCAGATCTTGGGTCCAGGCATATAGTAAGAAGCAGGGCTACTTGCCTGCTCCCTCCCTCCCCAGAGTTAGTGGTCAGCAAGAGGCAGAGAATGAGTTGGGGAGCAGCAAAGAATTGACCCACTTCCCTTACTCACCAGACACCATAGCTAAGCCAGCATGGGTAGGGTGTAATTTACTGCTGGTATAGGCCAGTGGTAAATAACTACCTCCTAGGAGCAAATAGGAAGAAGAGGAGGAATCAGGAGTCAGGTGTGAGTTACTGCCATGCAGTGTCTCCCCAGGGCACCACTGCTTGCTCAGGACTGTGCCTAAAAATTCACGTTCTAACCTTAAGCGTATGTCCCTAGCTGAGTTGCATTTTGACACACTCTTGTGCTCCATGAGTAGGATGGGCATCATCCACACCCTTTAGTTCACAAGGTCAGGCACATAGGTACAAAACCCATTCTTGTTCCAGTCAGACCATGGGAGACTAGAAATAAACAATTATGGTTCTAATGGCTACTGTCCACTCTTAAGTACAAATAACAAGCGTGAGCAAAACACATGAGAAAACCCGCACTTATGGAAGTGTCATAAGGCTTTTATTTAACATTGGGCTATAGTTTCATCCAGTATCTAACTGATGACATACATTATTTCAAAACAGAAATCAGAAATAAAGTGATGATCAAATACATAAATTTAAAATAACTTCCAGTTGCTTCTTCACATCTGAGGGCATCTGAGGGGTAAAAGATAAAGCAAAATATATTATGATGGACATTCTCCGTGAACAGTGCCCAGGATATTGTAACAGTGAGATCGCTAACAAGTCTCCAGTAGTAGGATTTCCTTATAATTAAGGTCATGTGTCTCTTATCACCTCTTTATCACGGAATAAATCTCTATATAGACAAATCATTTTTCTAAAAATAACTGGAAAAGGGATTTAGCTCAGCCATCTGCCTCTAGAAATTAGTTTTTTAATTTTTGTGTCCTTAACAAGCAACTCTCCCACTCAATCAGACCCTCAGCGGAGGAATTTCTCCACTTCCTCCCCTCCAAGTCATGAGTTGCAGCACCTATTTTTGGCTGAGTGGGGCTTGTTTGGACTCTGGAGCCTAGTGATGCCCTTCCTAATTTAGCTAACGGGACAGTGACATCTGAGCAGCAGTGGAAGCACTTGTCTTCCACAGGAGCAAGAGATGGCTGCTATTGCAGAATTTCCAGGCAACCCCAAGTAGGCGAATGAGACGGACACTGCACCTGGGACTCTAAACCCAGCAGCACAGCCTGCATATAGGCTCACCAGGCCACCTCCCATATCTTCTGCTTTAACTCAATTTTCTTTATTGTTATTTATCTTGTGGTAGCACCAAGAGGCCCTAATCAAGGATCGTGGCTCTGTGTTAGGCACTGTACAGACAAGGAAAACAAAAACAGTCCCTCCGGAAATCTTACAATCTAGGACAATCTAATTAACCAGGAGTTCTGCCTTGCAGTAGATTAAACATGCATAAGTGGAACTTTCCCCCACCTTTATGCACAGCATCTACAATACCCTCAGCACCATAACAAAGTACAGCAGTAAATTTTACTAAATCACATTAACTATAAACCTAAACGAGAGAGAAAGGGCAGCTCTTGCCTAATGAATTGAATTTAACTTGCTGTTTGTTTCAGAAACACAACTGCATAAATCAATTTCCTTCTTCTTTTTCTCAGTCAGACCATTTCATTAGAAACATCTTTATAAACACACCAAAACAGAAGGCTCTACCTGAAACGGTCAAACAACCCTGACTACCCAAGCCAGAAAAAAACAAAAACTGCACACCGTTGACTTTTATTTCTTTATGTAGCCCTTCCGCATTGTTCCACCTTCTTCCTACCACAGTCTTGCCATCTCACATGGTTATATCTTGTGATATTTGTCCCAGCTCCTGGAGTCACATGAGTACATGAGAATCTCAGCTTTCGTTTTGCAAAGTAAGTTCCTAACCCGCCTGGTTGCAGAGAAAAGTTTGAAAACAAGAACCCCAAAGGCTAAAAAACAGAAGGCAAATAAAAAGAGACTAAACTAATTATTGTTTTTAAATCTCATGATTTTTCACACGCTCTCTCTCTCTCTCTCTCTCTCTCACTCACACACACACACACACACGAATTTGGGTGGTCTGACTATGAATTTTGAATGTTTGGGATTGGCAACACTGCGAGGAATCTCTCCCCTCCTCCAATCAGCTTTTCTACCACTAAGGTTTGCATGAGTAGCGAAGAGGTCCAAATTTCTGATAGAAATCATCTTCAGCACGAACCAGAGCTTCCTCATCTATGTAGACAGCTGGTCTCCTGGAGGCCACAAAGTACTGCACTTTCCTTAGGTTCCATCCCATCACATACTTTAACCAGCCACAGACTGCGGCTGTAGACCTGCCAACACCAGCATTGCAATGTACGTAGACGATGTGTCCATTCTCTAGCAGCCCGTGCAGGAGACAGACAGCCTGAGGCAACATCTGTATTCTTCCTAGGATTAAAAACAGAGCACATTCCCATGAACACAAGAAAGGGAGGATCACTGTTAACAATATGTTTCTCTATTCTGCTGTACTGTGAAATCATAGTGGCAGGCAAAGAGAAATCTATTAAAGCTAGTTTCTCTTCTTTCTCTGGTAGGGGAATATGAATGTCTACATAGGTTTTCTGCACTGTCAGAAATTAAGTACCCTTTTGCACAGGCTAGGCCTAAGATTTCCAAAAGTGACTAGTGATTTTGGGTGTCCACACTGAGATGCCTTACAGAGGCTTGATTTTAAAAGGGTGGATGCGAAGCACTTCCTAAAAATCTGGCCCCATCTGGTGGAGCACCCAAAATCACCAATCTCTGTTGAAAATCATGGCCTACATGTGAAACTATAGTGTCAGTTTCCCCAAATGCCCTTCAACCCTCACATTTTGCTAAGTAATAGGTCCAGGTAATACAAAAGTCCATATAACTTGGACGCCGGACCTTCTTTGGCAACAAATGGTGATCTGCAGTAAAACGTGTTTAATAAATCAGTGGTTCTCAATCTTTCCAAACTACTGTACCCCTTTCAGGAGTCTGATTTGTCTTGTGTATCCCCAAGTTTCACCTCACTTAAAAACTACTTCCTTACAAAATCAGACAAAAATACAGAAGTGGCACAGCACACTATTACTGAAAAATTGCCGTCTTTCTCATTTTTACCATATAATTATAAAATACATTGATTGGAATATAAATATTGTACGTACATTTCAGTGGGATACTTGCACCTGTTTTTCATTTGTGAGCCTTGTCTGAAGCCTGAGCCCCACCATTCTGGGCTGATGCATGTAACTTAGCTTTGCAGGGGTCCCCTGTGGCATGGGACTCCAGGCAATTGCCTTGCTTGCCACCCTCCTAACGCTGGCCCTGCACTTGCAACACCCCCTAAACCTGTCCCGTGACCCCCCTGGGGGTTGCAACCCCCCCGTTGAGAAACACTGATCTAGATGAGTTGAGTACCCCCAGAAGACCTCTGCATACCCACAGAGATACACATACACCTGGTTGAGAATCACCATAAGTTACTTTTATATGGCCCACTGTCCAATACAGACTGAGTTGAGGCAACCAATTTTATTTCACAGACCACCATAGATTTGTTAAAACAGTAGAGCCAGAAGTGAAATGCTTTTGTCATACAGTGTTTGCGAAGCCATCCAGATTCCCTTTCATTTCTTGTCTCATTCAAAGAACAATAAAAAAAATATCAACTTATACGAGAAGTATAAATGTTTCAACCAATTTAGAGGCAGAATCGGTCCACAGAGTCATAAGGAAAATAGGTACTAACTTGATTTATGTAATAGTATGGTTACTTTAGATGAAATATACTTTAAATTTAGCTAATTAAGGTATTAAATGAATTCATTGCCAAAACAAAGATGGTGTTTGTCATCAGTTCAGATATGGATGTTGTATAGTATTTAATCTGAACAGTTTCCTCCCCTCCAAAAATCAACTTTTAACTGAACTATAACTGCATTCTTATCTTTCCAATTTAAAATAAGAATATGGAAAATATACTTCACATTTTATCCAGAATGATGGGGGACAAGAGCATCTCCATAAACCCATGTCTCTGTCTCAATTTTAGAAATGTGCAAAATTAGCAGCTGTGGTAGTTTAAGCCTTCACAAGTCTCTCCTACGAAAATGCTGTATTTTGGCATCATAATACATTAGCAATCTATTAGAACATTCTGTATACAGCACTGACATACCTTTCATATCATGCTCAATTCTGAACATTAAGTAACAAAGAAATCCTCCTAATCATACACCTCTCTCTACTTATATGTTTTTAGGGCCTATAAATGGCAAAACTCCTACTGACAAATTGGTGTGTGTGTGAGGAGGGGGTGTGGAATTGGTGCTGCGGGAACCATGAGGTTCTCATGACCCATTTTCTCCAATTATGTGCATATGCTGCCACCTCTCATAGCTCTGTGTTGAGAGTCACTAGGTCTTTTGGCATAGAAATAGAGATACACCTATCTCATAGAGCTGGAAGGGACCTTGAAAAGGTCATTGAGTTCAGTCCCCTGCCTTCACTCATACTGTCCCTGACAGTTTCCCCCCATCCCTAAATGGCTCCCTCAAGGATTGAACTCACAACCCTCGGTTTTGCAGGCCAACATTCAAACCACTGAGCTATCCCTCCCCCCGGAAAACTAGGTGAGATTTTCTTTGAAATTCATCAACATTGCCCTTTAATTGTCCATCAAGTACATGGTTAAGCAATATAAAACCTTTTCCTCTCAAGGGTTGAGAACTCCCAGCCCCTATCAGTCCAAAGAGTGAGACTATAAGACTCAAACCCTCGCTTTTACTCATGGCATAGCTGAGCGTTAACACAAAGCCAATCCATATTCTTGATTTCATTTTTCTTTCAAGTCTCCTGCCTCTCTTGATGCATATAACTGACATGACAATTCTCTGTTTGTGACACCAATATTTGACTTTATTAAAAATTATCCTGTATATTTTCTAGTATGGCAAACCACTCAAGTTTTCCAACCTCCTGCTTATACATGGTTTCTTATCACTCAATCTATTTTTATCAATGAACCAAGGATTGTAACGGCCAAATAACATATCCTAATTTATGTTACAATTTGGGGTGCTATGCATATCCTATATGATTACAAATTATTGTATGTGACAATACAGTGGCTCAATAGACTGGCACACGACTGCAAAGAGAGAGTGGTGTACTAAGGGAGCCAGAGTAGGTTACCTAGCACTGCCTCTTTGGTTAAAACCAGCAGTTATGGCAATTTCAGAGTCTTGATGTGCAAGCCAATGGTCATCAACCTGATGAATTTGTATTCTCACTAAATCAGTGCTGAAAGAAAAGGTTTTCAGTCATCAATTTTTGGAGGAGATGGGGATATACCGAGAGAGGAAGATATGTATCAGAAATCGTTTGGATGACTTCTCTGTATATGACAAAGTGTACAGAATTCATTAGGGACAACACAACAAAGTAACAACAAACAAAAGCTATTCAGAAAAAAACAACACTAAAGCAATGTAATCATGTCATTGAAAGGTTTTGTTATTACTTATCCAGTTGTAAGACAGGTTTGAACATTACCTTCAGTGCTCATATCTGGGGTTGGCATCCAGACATAAGCGAGACCTTCCTCTTTATACAGTTTCATAAGGACCTCTGGGCTCATGGGTTCTGGATAGCGGTTGCAGCCCCAGGAATTCTGAACAACATCCCACTCGGTCTGGAAGTTCATTACAGCCGTAACACCCAGTTCGTGTTTTAGCTTGATGGTTACATGCTCCACTTGCCGAGGGCAACTTCCCAGCCAGATGTTTGGCAGAATCCTAGCATTGAAAAAAAATGGTAGCATAGCTCATTAAGCACTTTCAACAAAGGAACTCCCCACCCCTGCACAAAACTCAGATTTTCTGTCAGCTTAAAAGGCATTCTAGTTCAAAACCTGGCAGCATCAGCATGTGAGATACGCTGTTAAACACACCGGTTTTATGTCAGGTGATAAAAAGCTTCTTGTTTTATTACAATTTAAACCATAATATTGTATTTTAAGAACCAAACCTAAACCTAGCGCACGCAGCCAAATTCACTTCACCTGTGTAGACTGGAGCCCTAGCAAACCATGGTCTAATTAGTAACACAGGTCTCAAAGACACCAGTCATTCAATCCTGCAGCTGAAGCTTACTAGAAGCGTTGATGAGAATAAGGAAACCCAGAAGATTCACACAATCTCTATGTAGAAAGAAACCCAACAGGCTCACATAATTCAAATGTGGAATGTTACAGTAACAATCTGTAAACCATATAACTATTATTGTTTTATAGCTACTGCTAGCGCAGCGGGCAAATCAGATCAGGTTAAGCCAGCACCAGCCTAAGCCATATTTTCTGTGGTAATCAAAAGAGTGTGGATTACTTCTTCCCCACGTGCCTCTGCAATTCTGGAGTCCAGCCAGGACCAGCTACAGAAATTTGAACTATGTTTGGGCTCCCTGGAAGCTGGAAGAACCAGAAATTCTGTGAGAAAACTCACGAGGATTGAATAATTTGTATAAACAGCCACACCTTTTGGTACTTAGCCAAACTAAACCTCCAAACCTTCTGTGGTTTTCCCATCTCTAATGATCATGAAAACTATTATATGTCTTAGCAAGCTTTCGTACAAAAACAAACTGAAACACAGAAGTGGGTGCCTAATTTGCCTAAAATCCCAATAGAGTATTTACATGTTTAAATCAGCAGCTACATACAAATATCCAGTTTGCACAGGCAGTTACAGTAACCACACAGGCAAAATAGGCACACAGTTGCACATGTAATTTTGCAAATCAAGCCCTTAGTTATTCACAGCAAAAAAAATATGGCATCTTTAAGAGTCAGCTTCCATGACTCCTTCAACCTATGATGAAAGTAAGTGTAGCCCACTGGTGAGTGTGTTAGAAGTCCCACTTTGCACCAATCCACAGAGGATATGAATTGTTACAGCTCCCACCTAGAGAGCTTTGGCCCTTTAGTTCAAGCTGTAGCTGCTCATGCTTTCAGCTCTAGTTTCATCCCCAGTGTGTTGGCCAAGAGAGCAGCTGTCACATAAGTGCTTCAAAAATGAAATAGGCCAATGATGTACGGCCCACAGCTTTTTGCAAATTCTAATCATTTGGGGCCAGACTGTGGAGTTCTTGCTCCCCCAAATGAGTGTATATTCACTTGAGCAGTCTCATTAAACTCTCATGCGAATACCATCCCCTTAAATTTGATGGTGCTACCCGCAGGAATAAATGGTCACTAATAGGAGTAAAGGCTCTGGAAATGGGCCTTTGATAATGATTATATCCTGCAGACTACTACTGTAGGATTGCTAGAAAGCCGAATTCAGTGTCATCAGTTTGTATTCCTTATAACCAGGGCCGGCTCCAGGCACCAGCCGACGAAGCACGTGCTTCGGGCGGCACCTTAGAAGGGGCGGCCAATGTTGAGGTGGCGGGGGGCGCTCACGGTCTTTTTTTTTCGGCGGGGCGGCGCTCGAGGGGTTTTTTTTTGTTTGTTTCGGCCGGGCAGCACAGCGGGTGTTTTGGCGGCGTGGGGGGGGAGGGGGTTGGGCGCTTCGGCAGCACTTTGTGGGGGGCGGCCCAGTGCAGCACTCTGGGGGTTTGGGTGGCCCGGCACAGCGCTCGGGGGGGGGGGGGCAGGGGTTTGGGTAGCCCAGTGCGGCGCTCGAGGAGGGGGGGTTGGGCGGCCCGGCCCGGCACTCCGGGGGTTTGGGTGGCCCAGCGAGGCGCTCGGGTGGGGGGGAGAGGGTTGGGCGGCCTGGTGAGGCGCTCCGGGGGGGCGTTACAGTGAGGCGGCGCTCTTCTTTTTGCCTGGGCCAGCAAAAAAGTTAGAGCTGGCCCTGCTTATAACTGTATTCCACTAGCACCCACAATATGCTAGGCACCCATGAAACACATGGGAACACACAGTCCCTGCCTTGAAGAGGTTACAGTCGAGGCACCTCTTTTAATATGAAGATGAAGAGTGTGATTTTAAAATTCTGTATTTACAGCAGGGCCCCATCTCCCCAGTTTATAGAGAACTAATAAAAAATGGTTAATTGGGGCACATTTATTAGGCAGAAGCTGTACCTTAAGGACTGTCAGTTTAAGTTATGATAGCAGTTTCTCCCAGGTGACTATGTGTGGGAGCTTGTTTGGATAGACACAGTTCATTTGATTCAGCATTAGGGAGACGGTTAAAGTGCTCCATATAAATGCCCTGGCCTACAATGTGATGGCTTTGCTTCCCCTCCGTGGTAGATGATGCAGTGGAAGTAACACGGTTCACCTAGTACTCTTGACAGTAATCAAGCTTTAACATGTCAGCTCCGGGAATGGGAAACTAGCATTTACACCACAGAAAACTCATTTCACTTGTCACTTCTCTTGTTCTAATACCTGTTCTTCATACTTTACATTTCCAAGGTGTCTGTGGTGGAGGGGGAAAGAGTTGAAATGGGATGGTCAGGACTGCAGTCCCTTCATTTCTAAAACTACACAGACCCACCATAGTCACTGCTACACCACACCACCTTCCACTCACATAAGGGATATTGTATAGAAAAGGGGACCTAGTCAGGACTTGCTTACACATTTGAGATCTGCCACTATCATCATGGCCCCGTAGGGCCCTTGGTTGTCAGTATAAATTGAAGCAGCTAATTTTCACTAAGGACTAGATCAGTGCCTGGATGACCCCACGATTGGGAGAGCAAAATGGTGGCTTAATGCCACCTCTGTGGCTCCTCTCCCTATACTGAGCTGTGCTGAGTGCCCCTTGGCCACAGCGTTTCATGGTACATGATGAGAAGACAAATGTGTTCTCTGAGGACAAGAGCACCTGGTATTTTTCTTCACAGTTTTCCTCAGAGTTCAGTACATTCATATAATAAACCTCCAATGTTTTATGATTTGAGAATCAACTAATGTACAGAGTTATCATCTCTTCCAGGGGACAGAAGTATAGATTCTAGCAGATGATTTAACCAGGAGGGACTAGAGTCCTAAGACCAATCATGCAATATAAAAATTGGGCTACAGAGAAAACACTACCTTAGAAATGATTTCCTAGCATACGTGAAAATGAAATCCAGATGAAAATCTGTGGGTGCAACATATTCTATATCCAGATTATCTACCAGGTGCTTTGAACCTGTCCAACAGAATTTTTGGACCTGCTAGAGTCCCCATTGTACCTCAGTTCACAATTAGTGAATCACCTGGTGGCTTTACCATTGAACATCACCATATTTCCATTCAATGGAATGGAGGAAAATGGCAGTACACAGAGCAGAGTCAAGACTAGGGCTGTCAACTGCCTGGATTTAGACCAGATGACTCTTATGAACTGGTTCCTTGGGACCAGCTCCAGGAGTTTTGCCACTGAAGTCAATAGGATCAGGATTTGGCTTCTGGTCTTTCCTCCTCTGTTTACCAGTAATGGCTATAAAGCCTTGGTATACAGTGCATGTATTACTTAATTGGGTTTAATTGTTCTTTTTATCAGGACGACATTCATTATAGATAATGTGCAGTGCACAATGACACCAAGTAGATTTGTTTATTCAGTCAATTTATTTAAGAGATCTAATTATGATTATTTCATTCTTTGGTGTCTGGGCTTTCATTCAGCTTTATCAAGTTCATTCCTTTATTTTCTCTTCACTTAAAAGAGGGTTTTAGTTCAAATACAATCTGCAGAAATTGATGAACAGTTCAGTAATTGTATTCTATATATTTATGCCAGATCGTCCTCACAACGGTTTCACTGTATGATAGATAATGGAAGTTAAAGAATTGTAATGCTAGGGAATGATCCTTTCACAGTTTCACTTCCCTTACCCAAAAGTATGCCCTTTTTAAAAAAATGAACTTGTTTCCTTCTGGAAGTTGCCACTTTATTTCACTAGGTAACCAGGTTTGGACTGGGTTAGTACCGGGGTGAGCGACCTCTTCATTTTCAGCTTTGAGCTGCTCAACAGTTGCTGCCTTCCAGCTCCAGAAGTGATTACTTTACAATGGCAGATTAAGTAACCCTTCCATATAATTTGAAAAACAATTACAGATTAAAGGGGATATGTAAATGTAAGATCATTTCAACCATTAATCCCTTTCTTTTCCTAAAAAAGTATGACACACTGGTTTTTTGAAGAGGAATTATAGGAAGAATATGTCAATGTAAAAATGTTGTTTGCCGTATTGTTGTAGCCGTGTTGGTCCAGGACATTAGTGAGACCAGGTGGGAGAGGCAATATCTTTTATTGGACCAACTCCCATTGGTGAAAGAGACAAGCTCTGTGTCTCGTCTCTTTCACCAACAGAAGAAGGTCCAATAAAAGATATTACCCCACCCATCTTGTCTCTCAGTGTAAAAATGGCCCTTTCTTACTCAATGTATCTGTGCACTGTGTGTTACTAAAGCTTGGTCTACACTACAGAGTTAGGTTGAAGGAAGCTACCTTAAGTTGACCTGTTAATGTATGTGTCTACACTACCTTGTCCTTTACGTCGACCTAAGTTACCTCTGATGTTGACTTGTGTAATCCACCTCTGCAGCGCTTTGTTTGATTTCCATGGGCTGATTGCGAGGTAGTGCAGGCGCAGCATTGTGTAATTCAACTTAATTGGCCTCCAGGTGGTGTCCCACAATGCTCATCTGTGACTGCTCTGGAGATCATTCTCAACTCTACTGCACTGCAGCCAGGTAAACAGAAAACAGCCCATCCCCTGCTAATGCCCTGGGAATTTTTGATTTCCCATTTCCTGTTTGACCAGCATTGGGAGCATGCCAGCTTGAGCA